GTTGAAAGTCCGTAACAGACTACAAGTACGGGAGGACTGTCTGCTGATTGACGAACGCATCGTTATACCAACACAGCTGCGCCAGACAAAACTGGAAAGCCTACACTTGACACACCCAGGGTCGGCCGCAATGCTGGTTTTATGTCAAAACGTGTGGTTTCCACACATCCACCGATCAATCGTCCAGATGGCGAAACATTGCGAGCACTGTAGAGAACAGGGTTAAAACCTCAAACCAAGAATAGAAAAATATCATTCAATCCAATTGGATTCGGTAGTAGAACCAAATGAGGAAGTACATTTAGACTTTTCGGGCCCCTCCCCGATGAATTAAATAAGGACGCTTACATACTCGTTGCTATAGACAAATGGTCAAAATTTCCGAAAGCAAAGGTTGTTTTGAATACTACAGCAGATGTCGCCATAGAATTTATGCAACGGTATATTTCAAATAATGGAGTACTCCGTCGGCTAATATGTGATCAAGCACAAATATTTAGAGCGGAAAAGTTCCAACTTTTTTGTAACACAAATCATTATAAGTTAATTTTTGCACCGGTTGACAATCATAGAACCATAGGGGTGGTAGAAAGATTGATACAAACATTAAAACGTCGTTTAGGGGGTATGAGAATAGATCCGGCGACTATACCATACAAATTAGCTTCGGAGGTTGCTGGAAAAATAAAAACTTTGCGCATAACACCACATGGTGTAACCAAATTTTCACCTTTTGAATCACGCATAGGCAGAAAACCAAATACTCCTCTGTCACATTTGGCAACAACTAGTTCACCCACCGATCTTAACTGGGAAAACGCAAAACACGCATGTTTAGATCGAAAAAATCTATCAAAGCCGCCTCTGCCAGCTGAAAACATGCACGACTTGCAACATTGGTCGGAGGATGAAGTTTCGATCAATCAACGACAGCAACTACAACCACAACCAACTGGCCAAGTGTGGCAGACAAGACATCAAAACAAACACCAGGTGCGAAACGCAAACGTAACATAGGAATAAATATAGATAAATTAAACAATAAGTTTAAAAGAATACAATAACCCACAGACAAAAACGTGAGCAAACGATCAGAACAAGTGGCAAGAAAGACGATCCGAATCGCAACTAAAGTAAAATATTTCCAACAAAAATATAAAACAACCGATGGAAAAAATTTTAACATACACACACCAAATACAGCATGGGTACAGGCATTCGGGAAACAACCTATACTTTTAGGGAATAGTGCGGTTGGTTTTGTAACTAATCCTTTCTTCTACGGACCGTGTTGACCATCACGGTTAAGTGACTACGTAGCTTACAAATCGGCACGAAGATCAGGGCCTTGTCTTTGTTTTTTAGACATCGAGAACCAACAGCGCCTCAACATAGTATGTTCCGGGAAGATGAAGAAACAGGGCTGACATCAAAATTGACAAGCAATGAGCAAACAAAGCTAAAGGAGCAGAGTAACAAAAAAAAACAGCCCAGCCAAACGGCGGGGAAAACCAACGGGAAAGAGGACGGGTGGACGTCCCTGTGACAAACCGCGAGGAATGAGTCTTTCTTCTTTGAAGAAAAGCACAAAAGCCAAGCCCCGACCACGGAAACAAACACCCATAGTGACACGGAGACAAGTCGTCGAACCATCGCCAACAAAAAAAACACCGCCAGCAACAACTTAGGCGAACATGGCACCATCGAGACGCTCCACTCGCCAACGTCACCCAACCTTGGCAAAATCTTTTGGGGACAGTATATCGATAAATACCATTGATGAGTCAGCCACACACAAAAAGCTTGTAAATTTCAACATTGATTCGCCATCAGATCAAATATACCCACCGACGAATCCAAGCCTCAAATCGCTCATTCAAGAAATGGGCTTCGCGGACAAATGACCAGAATATCAAGCGTGCATGAATATTCTGGATGCAATAAGCCCAAAAAACAAGGCGAAACAAACGGACGAAGTTATCGACCCCATTTCGTCAGATGAAAGCCCGAACAAAATGGACATCTTATAAATGGAAAATCAAGAAGTGGAGGAACCAATGAAATAGCGAACAGTAGACAAGAGGGAGAAAATGCATATGAGTCCTCAAGGGACTATAGAAATCAAAAAATTGAAACTTAAAATCTCTAAAGAAGACGGAGTGTCATCCGGTACGGATTGATAAACTTATTATCGCTGTTATTTATTAATTCGATTAACGTATTCAATTATATATTGTTTGGTCAGTTAACCTTGATACGGCTGCATGCCGACTAAGGTCCATGAGCAGGTTTCAGACGATAATTTATGTTTCTGAACAACAGCTGTTTTATTCAAATTCAAAAAAACACTAGGTTTATCAATCCGTTCGGATTCATTATACTCACGCTCATACGTTGAGGTACGGCATGGCGCAGTCGGCAGGATACTCGAAAAACCCTCTGAGTATCAACCCATTCTGGGAGAAAGCCTCAAGCGAGCCACCACTGGAATGGTCGAAGTGGGCAGCTATATTTGAGATGGCATTATTTGCCAAAGACCAGATCGAAGTAAGAAATCTTCAAAGAAATATACCTCCACTCGTCGAGCCCACAGAACCGATATATGAGGTCAAAATAAACGGAGAAACAGACGCTCAGAGGAAAAATCGGGAGGTTCGCAATCAAGAAAAGAGAGTTGGTTGGGAAAACCACGTGGTGAAAGCCCGAGAAAAGGGAGTCCTATGCAACTCATTCCGATGGGATGAAGCAGACGCTAAAGTAAGAAGTTACATTTTTCGTTGCCTGGGAGGAGCCGAGGGCCAACGTCAAATTCAGCAAAAACGCCCAGGTCTTTTACTACACGGGGTGACAACAAGAGAGCTAATTACAACACTAGAAGACAATTTCGTAACAACCAGAATTGTCGCGTTCGAAAGACACAATTTTATCTTCTGAAAACAGAAGAAAACGGAAAACCTGGAACAATTTCACGCTGATCTGGTCGGGTTGGCTTTCAGAGCCGATCGCGGGGACAGAGAGGACGAGTGGGTATGACAGCGATAATAAACTTTATTTTTCGAACATGTTTTCTCAAAAAGGGTTAATTTCATCCCTAATTGTTTTGAAAATTCAAAGAGCTTTATACAATATACTGATCTTTGTCCGTTTTGATTTTCGTTTGCTGGAAAAATTGATTGAGACTCCTAGGCATGTTGCTTAATTTTGATTAGTTAAACTTAGCCAATCAGAGACGAACAATCAGAGATTGCGTTTTTGTCGTGCGCACCCACTCAAAGTTAGTGTATATTGGCGTCAGAGGCGCTTTTAGAAAATGTTTAGTGTCCGCAACAAAATATGAATGTCTCAAAATAAGACAAAGGGTGACCCTTTGGGTCGGTAGGGGGTCAAATCCCTGTGGGGAGGGCAATCCCCCTCTAAAAATGGTCGTTTTTCATCTACCGCGTTTATATACCATTTGAATGAAGTGATGTCTTTGACTTCTGTTTCATGGGAAACTTTTTTGTTCAGATGAACCAAAGATTGACAAGACATCTCACGTTTAGAGTTTTTGTTTTTGACAGCAAATTTTCATTTCGTTATTAGATATCTTTTAGTGTGATATCGTTTGGAGAAAAAATTGATTATAAACAGTCATCTTGTTTTAATGAGAAAGTTTGTTGAAACTAAAATCAATTATAATTTGGGATCTACTTAACAATCCCCCCTTTTACAAAAGGGGGAAATTGTTAAGTAGGTTCAGCTAGCAAATTACTAGCAATTTAGTCGAATTTTCAGCCAATCAGAAAGCAGCAAATTCTGAAACCGAGAAAGTTCTAATTGGCAATACAGTGCTGATTTATATTATCCAGACAAAACGAATAAATCTTGAACTTTTAAACAAACTTGAGTTTTCCTCAAACTGGGTTAAGATTAGACAAAAGTGAAGAGATCAAAATTTGCTTAGAGTTTCAACAGAATTAGTATGGTGCATTTTTTCACCGAAATTCTCAACCACAATTTCACCCAAAAATTGGTTAATTTTGGCTTTTTTCAATTAATCAAAAGTTACGCTGGAACTACTTTGTTAATTGATGATAAATATATATCACAAGAAGCCTCAAACAGAGCCCAACTAATTTCTACAAAGGCTAAATCTCCGAAACTTTGAGTAAATTGTTTGAAAATTGTTTATAAGCAAAAATTTTGGGTTTTATATAGTAAATATAAAATATATAATATATATAATAAATATTTTATCACTTTTCTTGACTATCACGCAAAAATATTTTCTCTCATACAAATTTTGGAAATTTAACCCTTCTAGAAATTTGTTCGTTTTGTCCGGATAATTTAAAGCAGCACTGTAGCTGTTACACTTAGCAAATAATCATGTAAAATGAACTTTAGGGAAGAAATATTGCCTTTTTTTAAATTGCCTTGTTCAATTATAGGGGGGAGAGATTCTTAATTAGGTACCATAGGGGGGGGGGAATTGTTAGGTAGATCCATAATTTGTTATAGAATATTATAATTTCGTGGAAAAAGTAACAATTATACGAGGTTATAAATTCGTCGAATAGCATATTTTGTTAACTATAAGCAATTATAAATCTTTGAGATTCTTGCTACTCAACCTGTGCTTTCTGTTTTTTGGGTTTTCCAACTAAACATGAAAGTGTAAAGCGAAACACGAAAAAAAATTTTGTTATCTGAATGATTGGTGAAATTATTTGAATGATCATATAATTTTCATGATTGGCAAGATGTTTATCATAGGTTTCATATAATATATTGTGATGATGGATTTTTACGGAAAGTTGTGACCAAAGTTTTTATTTGTGGTAATTGTATGAGTAGAAGTTTTGGTCAACCCCGGTATTTCACAAAACTTGGGCAGTTTTTGTTTCATATTTTAATTTTACTGATAAAAATCTGAGCAAGCATTTTTGGAAAACAAATAGCTGGTGTTTTCCTTTATTTTGGTGAAAGTTTTTGAGTAACAGTATTTTTTTTTCGTTCAGACCAGTCGACGCTGAAGAGTGTGGACTCACGAGTGCCCCTGTCGCTCTCACTCTCAACTGCAGTGACCTGTTCCCTCATCATGCAAACACTCATGTGATCACTAATTACATCATACCAGCATAAGACAAACAGTGTGAACAGACAAGGAACACACTATAGTGTCAAAGAGAACAACAACACAACATCACAAAATGCTCCCTTCTTCGTTCTTGTTCGAAGATTGCTCCCACAAATTAAGAGCGCCGCCCGAAATAATCATTGGGTTATAATTCCAGCAGCAGTAAATGAACAGAAACAGCACCAGATAAGTATCCCCCCTGGGCTTCATGGTTGGCATTTATCTGGCATCATTTCACTGCATGTCCCTGTACACTAGATGATCCCTTCTGGCACCCCAGAGTGAAAATGTTGCAGAGGAGGAACTGAACGAAGCGCCATCATAGCAGAATAGACTCAACCCACCGCAGACAACCAGACCATTTGTGGCTGTAAAAGCTCCCAGCTGTACTACTTATCATATTACTCTAAAGTAACACCACACAATGAACTCCCATTGCTTCAGTTGGCTCACTTAACCCAAAGCAGTTGTTGTTTTTTGTTGTTTTCAATGTTTTAGCTGGAATTTCTACTCAGTATCTTTTGCTCACGCATAACTCTATTCTAATAATTCGGTTTTTCAATCAGTAATTTGTAAAAATAACTTAACCTAGATGTATTCTATTCGTTCATAAATGTTCCATGCCCGTTTGGCGCAAGCTCGATGCATGAGATAAATGGAGGAAGTGTCCTTGCTTGGCTTTTTGATTAATCCATCCTCAAATCAATTTGAAAAGAGAAAAAATGTGTTGTTTTCACTTTTCAGCGAGATAAGCGTTAATGATTTTATTCAACGACTTGTAATATCTTTTTTTTTCTCTACTTTTTTGTGCATATGAAACTATAAAAGAAGTCACCCTGACGTGTTAGACTTATGGAGATATTGAAATAAAAAAAAAACAATAAATTATTCGATGGAGTTTTATTTTGTCTCCTTTCGACAGAAAATGACCATAAGGTGGCTGTGCCTCTCCCTCCATTCCACTCTAACAACAAACCAACCCCCCCCCCCCCCCCCCAATCACCCTTAGTCTGTTTATGTTGAATTTGTGATTGTCAATTTGTAATGTGAATCGATAGCAAATTTATTTTATAATGAATCAGTTCGGGTAGAATGCGGTAAATAGAATTGAGATTAGAAACCAGATTAAGATTAGAAAGAAGAGAATAAGAGATAAGTGACCTCAAACTCTTTCACTGTTGGAAGTTATGATGATACTTCTCGATAACTTATATCCCGAGTAGTTGGGTGGATGAGTTTTTCATCCAATTAAGACACTTAGGTCGACCAAAAAACTTGTTTTGACCAGAATCGATAAATAGACCAACCAGTGTGGACCAAAAATGACCAAAGTCGGGAAAAACAGACCACAAGTTCTGCAACGGACATTCATCGACTCACAAATGGCTGACCGATTTTATCCAATATGCTGAGAACATATTTCGAGCTGCTTTCAGTTTTATTTGTAGCATTTGCTCGGAAAATTCAAATCAATAAGAAGAAACCTATTCTTATAGCGATTTCAAACCTAGTTTTGGTTTGAAAGCTAAACATGCGGCAATTTTAATGTACTGACTCAAAAGAGATCGGTCTGATCCACACGAACTCGAGATGCTTCAACCTGTCCATAACTCCTTAGTTTTTCCCATAACTTGATCTAAAATCAGGATGGCTAAAATAAAACTTTTCGCCGATAAAAGGAAGCAGGTTCCAACTTCACGAAGGTCGCGCCATGACAAAAAGCTGCTTCTTTGGTTATCAGAAAGTTAGTTTCAATACTACTGCCTTTCTCTTCCAGTGAAACAGAGTTGAAACGTTCATATCTGAACAAACGTTGCTATCCGAATGCTCTTCAATGTCGCATGTCGCAATCTTTTTCAAATTTGGTTGTCTTGGTTCTTCTTCATAATTTTAACAACTTTTTGTTTGAGTTTTTTAACAAAAGTCGGTCAGCTATTTGCGAAATCATCTCCAATTAAAACTTATTACTCCGAATATCTTCTGACGTTTACCCGAACATCTGACATCTGTCCTAACTATTCTCTTTTATTCTTTTAACGCTAGTCAGTAATTTGTTTGTATACCAGTGGTATTAGAATACTCTTTTATGTGGCACACTCGAATCTGTGGGTAATTCACGCCTTTTGGCCAAATGATACTGTAGAACCTCCCACCCAACGGTCAAACTGGATCGATCGATTTCATCTTGCATGTACTGCCAAACAAAATTTAGATGTAGCCTACTTAGAAAAAACCAACTGGCAACGGAGACAGAAATACCAATCCTTTGAAGCTTCCAAGATTCAGAAAATGAAAAACAGGGGAAAACTAGGGAGGCCAGGACCAAAGGCGCTGTGCTAGCTTACGAAGTCGCAGAGGGAAAAAGAATCGCCTAGGAAGAAAAAAAACTCGTTGGCATCAGAGGAAACGAAGCAGACAAATTTAAGATCAATATTGTACTGAGCCTTAGAATCTGAAGAAAACACAGTTTCAGTTTTATCTTGGGTGACAGTTTTATCTGTCTTTTTCAGAGAATTCTTCAAAGTTTAAGAAGAAAACAAAAACCATCAAATATCACCCTCGAACGGTGCCAATTGTTGAGCTGAAAGCAAAAAGACATAATTTTCTGGGATCAAAATTATTAAAATTCTCCGCTGAAACCTCAATTGATTCAAGAAAAAATTTTTGTGGCAAAGTAAACGCTTGAACAGAAGAAAAAATCCGTAATAGCAACAATCAATTAGTACTTAACACAAAGCTATCTCCAACGATAACGGCCACAAAAACAAAAAAAGTGTACTTTCTGGAATTGGTGGGGCAGCAACTGTAAATATGATTATTCCAGAAGACTCTGCTTGCCAGGTCAGTTTTCTACGAACAAAACGTTTTACATCAGCTGAAATCAAGGAATTCAGTAGCGAAGATTTTACTAGTTGACAGGAAATTCCGAGAACTACCTCGTGGTTTCACCAACAATACAATAAAAATTATCGGCGAAATAATTGTACGAGGTTAATCTAATGGATGCATTTGCAACAAGATCCCCGAAAAAAAACTAGTTAAGCAAAGAAGATTGAGATCGAGATTGCTCGGAAACAGCGCGTCAAACCGATCATCAACCTGACAATTCTAAACTTCTGTAAGTCGAATGTACAAGCAAACGAAATAATAAACCTGTACAAACTTTTCAAAGTTTTTAAGTAGAACAGAGAAAATTCCGTCGGACAGGCAATTCACTTAATTTCATACACTTTTTAAACCAATCCATACCAAAAGTATATGGGTACCACTTCACTTATAGGACGTGATTAAAGATTTGAAACCGTTGGAAAGGACCGCCATATCGTCAAATCAAACAAACGTGATAAAATAAGCTTCTTTTGCTCGGAGATATGCCAAAAGAATTCCAACTGGTCTTTGATTCACTTTTGAAAAAATTGATTTTTTACCAACTGTTAAGTCGATGACACTTTAAAAGCTTCGAAAGGGTCATTAGAAAAACATCAGTCCATCTTTGGAAAAACATATACCTTCTCGAGAACAAGAACATGAAATTAAATGAGAAAAACACGCAGTACTTCAAAAAGCTATAAAAGCTTGAGTTCAAAAGTTAGACAAACATCTTTCTTTGGATCGCTAAACCTTTATATGATTTCGTTCCGAATTTGTCCATCCTATGTTTACCGTTACTTTTTTTACTGAACAACAACTTGTTTGACAATTGAAGAAAAAACTGTCACGAGCAAAGCATAAGTTTTTGGAGACTTAAAAGTGCAAATTGTAAACATAACCAAAACAAATATCAAATACTTCGTCATAAAAAGGCACTGGAGACACAAAACTGACACATCACACAAAGGAGTAAAGTCCACACTAATGCAAGGGGAAGGATAATCTTGGACTTCACCAGCATTCGAAACAAGATTTTCAAACACCCATGGATGGAAGTACTCATCAAAAGAACTCGAATTTTTGTTGGTTGTGTGGGCAACTGAACCTTTTAAAATCTACGCGTCAGAAATTTACATTGTAACCGATCAAAAAGCCCCACAGTTTGCGCTAAACGCAAAATGTAGAAAAAAGCATGCACAGTAGATTGACCCGTTGCATAAAGAGATTGTTATCGTTCAGTTTTAAGGTACCGTTCAAAAAGAAAATGGTATTAACTCTTCATTTTTTAAGAAATTTTCCCGGAAAACCCTACCAACTTCTAACTAAGACAAAAACTCAGCTTTCATCAAATAACAAAGTTTCAGAAAACCTTTTGTAAATACTTACTACAAAAGAAGAGTTATAAAGAGAGCGAACTGTGGTTAACAAATCGATCGGACGTGAAAGGTGAAAACAATATATCCTGAGAACAAACTCCCGTCGGGTAGAGAATGTGAAAATTTATTACACACTCAACAAACGGTATTTTTAATTGTTCTCCCCTAACTAAATCACTCAATGATTCAATTTAAATTCGCAATTCTAATTATTCGCGCTCAGAGTCTTATACAAGCAGTTGTGTTGGTTTGCACCTTTCAAAATACAAACTTCAAATTCGTAACAGTTAAGTCTTGTTTTTACTTGCCAAACAGAAAAAAAAAGAGTCAACTTCATTTCAATCGAGCTCGAACTCAGATAGAATAACAGTCCCAGCTGAAAACCAGGGGATAAAATTTGTGGACACTAAATTGTCCCATTTCCACTTGAAATTATTAACGAAGTTTAAAGATGAGCTCATATTATCATCATCCCCAACCGCATTTAATTGCCATTGCTCGAACAAACTTATTATGCTAACGATTAAATGATAAAAATCTGAAAGAAGTTAAAATAGCGAAGAAAAATGGAAAACATTTTGACAAGTTTGGAGCTTACTTGAAAACTTTCCAACGGGACATGCATATCAGTAAGCCCTAATTTTTAACGACAACAAACTTGTATTCCCCTCCTCTGCACTCAAATCACCAATCATGACGCTCTTAAACGAAACACTTGGTGGCCCCATCTCTACAGGAAAATCAACAACCACGGCAGAAACTGCTAACTGTGTAACAACCGGTAAGATTTTTAAAGTTATTATGAGAGCGTCCTGTACACAGAAATTACCCGAGCTGAAGGAACCTAACAACGAAATCTAATTGGAGTTTGCTTGTCCGTTGGACAAGAAATTATCTGCTTTTAAGCATCGACCGTTATTCAAATTTTCCATTAACAAATACCTCAGCTTTTCCGTGCTTACTAACTTTCTTGTTTTTTATTGCGATTTTCACGTTCTTAAAAACTATTAGAGCAGACAGTGGATCATGTTTTATTTCAATCAGTTTTAAATTTACGGCGAGCAGAATCATATTTATTTAATTTTGTAAACAGTGGGGGATCATAGATTCAATGGAGTAGTACGGTGATCAATTTACCGAAAAAAAAACTAAGTTGATAGCAATGTCGTTCAGCAAACCTTGACCAACGCTAAACACAGAAATCGATACATTTCAAATAGGATCTACGTTCGGCCAAACAAGCATCAATCGCATGCAAACCGTTCTCAAAACGTTTTAACAAACCTCCCAACACTTTTTGGAAAAACCTAATTTCAATTAACTTAAATAGAAGAAAATCAATCATATCATGTCAAAACTGCAAGTAGAAGACTGGGAAATGAATGAGCACGTCGAGGACAGATAACTTGATGGGACGAAAGTTGACCAAAACGGATGCGAGAAAAATTCAACGGAGAAGGCAAAAACCGTCGAACCGAGAGTCCTGCGGACGAATAAAGGAGGTAACTCATTTAGGAAAACCGTCAATAGGAAAAAAATCAACCGTATTTGAACCGTTTAAGGGGATGATTTTAGCCGATTTTACTTCCACAATAATCCTCACAAACGGTCTCGTTTAAAGAAAATCTGATTTCACTGTCAAACCAAACATTTCGCTCCAAAACCTGATTTCGCTCCAAAATAATCTTTCTAGCCTCGATAATTTAGCAAGAAACACGAAAATAAAATCCTCACTGGAATTTTTGTAAAAGCATCTCAGGACCATCTTCTTCAGGGAAACACAGAATCATCGTCTACAAAGAATTGAAAGGTAGCGAACCCTTCTTACAAA